AACTTTTAATATCAAATAACAATGGCAGCTTAAAGTGTTCACCTGCAGGATTCATTAAAAAACAAAACACAATGGTGTTATATTAAGACCCTGTTTTATTCCTAAATTTGCTCCTTTGGAAGTTAGACCTTGACTTGGGGAGACATCAGCCAGCTGGCAACGAGGTTCTGACTGAACAGAAACAAAAGAGCTCGGTTAAATTGGTTGGTTTGATGGAGTCGACCCAGATTCCAACCAGATGTTTTTATGGTTTGGGGCCATTTCAGGAAATGATGTAATCTTGCTTTATCCATTCCAAAACCAGTCTAGGTGTTCATCTGGAGTCGTGGCTGTGATAAATATCCTGTTGGACTTCATAGTTCATACCTTGACATATCCAGACACAGATTTTAGTTCAGGTAACTTTTCTCCAGAAGCCAAGGTGTTTGGTTTGTCCACATTGGTAGCTATCGTGCTTGAAAGTGTAGACTTTTCTTCTTTGTCGCCGCATTAGCCCACAGAGATTAGCTTTTCATCGCACCTTGTGGTTCTCAAATAGGCATCCAAACCTGACTTGGTATAACTTAACAGGCTAGAAATAGCTAATAATGCTTAAATTATTGATGGAAAATTGACCAATTCCTATAAGGCAGACGACCACATATATACCCAGAATACATGGGTTATCTGTTCTCATTCCTATTGTTGTTGACTATTGTTCTATGTTTGAGAAATATCATTAAATGAAGGCTTTTCAAACGTTCCACACAAATAAGTAATACGAATGATTTGTGCTGAAATTATATCGGGTTAGTGTCGATATCGGCCAATATTCAACGCCGCGATATCTGTATATTTCGGAAATGAAAAAGTTGTATTGGGACACCCCTGGAAAAAAAATGGTTCAAACGCTGGGACAAGTATCTGTAAACATCCTACCGTGTGAGGAAGACTAAAATTAAGAGTAAAACTCTATAAAGACATTATTTATCTTTTTAAAAATATTTTCCAGATACATGGTCTGTGTTTAGAGCTCACTCTGAAATCTGCCCTGCCTTTTGTGGTGTCCGGGAAAAGCATGAATAACACTGGGAGCTGAATTTCATTTTGCCTTCTCAGGCTGTGAATGTGTGCTCCTCGCCTGACCTTCCTGGAACTGCTGGGCTCCACGCCATCAGAAAACATCCCCTTTATCGCCTCTGACAACAGACTCTGCGCTAGTATATGTGTGTATGCATGTGTATGAGAAATACTGAATACTGTGTGCTGGGACGCAGAGCTTCAGGAGAGCGGCACGTCCCGAGATAGTATGGAATAAGCGACGCTGACATTTCCGTATCCTAATTGGAGAGTGGGGATGGTTTTTTGAGAGGAGGGAAAAACGTCCATCAGAAACCAATGTAGAAAAATTCTGTAAAGGACTTGTGAAAGATGCAAAAATGCTGGAACGCTGAGTTTGTTGAAATCAAGGCTAAAACCCCACTTGTTTAGCATTTCCATAACTGAAAGATCATTAATTATAGTCACTATTAAGACCTGTAATTTTTCTTCCTTCATTTTACCAATGCAATGTATTGTTTTTTTTTTTGCTGTTTTATGATTTCATCATACTAAGGATTTTGAATTGCCTTGTTGCTCAACTTGCTTTACCTTCCCTAGTCATAATGCAACACTGTCAGGGTTGGCTTACTATCCAACCCTGATTAAATGAAAAACGAAACTTTATGCGCACCCAGAAACATTTTTTATTAAGTCCACTCAACTGCATCGTGTCAGACTCTGCATCATGTGGCCTCAGCGGACAATAAACTGCATTGAGTTATTGACTTTACAGCAATTCCTCTTAATGAGCAAACGAATATCACCTGAAATCAAATGATAACACAGCCGGTGCCAAATGGGCTCCTGTAGGTAAACTTAAATGTTTGTGCTGTCATCCTGGACATATTAAACTAGACTAAAGCCAGAGGCTCATTAAGACGTTGGTGTCAATAAAGGAAGGAGGGGCAGTACTACACAAACAGACCTCCTACTTATATATATATATACACACATAAATGCCTAAATTTAACTTTTAGATTCTGATGTGCAAATTATGAAATGTTTAATCTTGTGACACTTATTTCACAAGATTCTACCACACGTTTCAACACAATGACTCCAACCCTTTCAGCCTAAATCTTCGCCATGAGCTCACTCGACCCCTTGAACATGCCACTCGATGCGATTCTGACGTCGAAAAAGTGCATTTTCTGGTACTTGAGCCTTGAGTTTCATCTTCAACCCATCACTCCTCTGCTGCCCCAACAGTCCTCTTCTGCTTCGTTGAATTATTCAGAGCTGTGGCTCCAGAAAAGCCGCGAAAGCAGAATATAGAGAGCTGCTAAGAAGAGCCGGCCTTTCTCTCGTCATCAGCTGCGTGGCACCCGGTGGGAGGTTTCATTTGGCCGCGTCACCGGCAGCAAGTCGCGGATGTTCTGAGCGTAACCTAAGTTATAAGACCTGTTGGTTGTAAGAAGACTGAGAATTGCACCTATATCCCATTACAAACATCGGTGACGCTTTATTTGACGGGGTGTGCATGAGCCTGACACGACCCAGTCGTAAACATGACATCAACATGAAGATGGAGTTTTCATGAAAGTTTACACCCGTTGTTACAAAATCTCATTTCATTAAATAATGATACTTTTAATGCAAAGTTTATCATTTTAATGGACTTCTAATGTAATTTTGTAATAAAAGTGACATTATTTAACAAATGACTTTGTGACAGCAGTTGGAAACTTTTATGGAAACATCCTCATCTTCATGGCAGGTGCTATATCACGTTGGTGACACTTTGTCATGTCGGTGTTATGCACACCCCGTCAAATAGTGCTACCCAAACATCCACTACATATGTAAAGAGCACATTGTGGCGTGCATAAGTAGGTTAGAGAGAAAAAGAAATGGAATATAAGAAAATTATCACAATAAAGATACATCAGTCTGTGTCTTTCAGAACAACCTATTGCAATAAACGGCTTCTTAGGTTATTTTGCTACAGTGATGGATTCCTGGTTGTTAAATGAAACAAATCAGAAACAAAGCATCTTCACAGAAACGCAACAGCAATAAACCCCAGAAACGATGTATTTACCTTTCAAAGGCTCGTGTATTTTTACCCACAGTGGGAAGCTGCTGCTGCTAAAAGCAAATAAAAATGGAGTGCAGTTGATGGCGGCCAGTTCAGTCGTCTGGAAGTTGACGGTGTGGGCGGAAAAGTCTAATTAGGGACACGCACTCGCTGGTTAATAGCGCGGGAGTAACAAGTAAAGACTTGAGTTCTTATAAACATTGTTTACTGGTCTATTTTATTGTGTGATAATTAAATTGAAATTAAATAACTAAACAGAGGGAGAAAACCAATCAGCTGGTCCAATTGGTGTAAGTCATTCATCCAGCAGCGCTCGCTGACAAAAAGTGCAGGAATGTGATGACTCTGACCGGGTCGGGCCGTATGTTCTCGATGACCATCGAAATGCCCGAAGTCAGAAAACGGAGATCTGAGCGAGCAGGCGCTCCTTGCAACCCATCGGCATCTAAAGGTGCCGGCGTGCAGCCTCTGAACATCAAACACAAGAGTCACAGCAGAGGCACAAAAACAGCCTTCAAAAGAATCGGAGGTGACAATTTCCATTCCATCACCTGAGAGGAAATCTAAACCCACATCCACGGTGGCAGCAGGTTGATGTAGTGCTGTTATGTTGCTTCTGATTTGTTATTTTTTCTTTTGTTTGAGGCATGGCATGTCTGGATAATTACTCCTTCTGGTTTTGGATGCTCTGCAACTTGGAGAACATTTTCTTTTTCTTTTTTACCTTTGGACAGTTGTTACCATGAGCAACTGTTGCAATGTGTTTCTACAACTAGGAGCAGCTGATTAGCTTTAGTAATACCTGACCTACGACCCCGATACCCCAGAAGAGTTGGAAATGAGGCTTCAGCATCTCTAACCGTTTGGCCAGACAGATTTAAAGAGGAGCGGCAAAAGCAAATGAGCTGGATTAGCAGTTCTGCCAACAACTGACGATATCATCCAGGACAAGTTGCTGTAAAAGTATTGCTAGCGTGACACGAGAGTCATGAGATTCTCTTACGTTTATGAGTTCAACACCAAAATCACTGAAGCTTGAGCTAAAACTGCAAAAATCACTCTGGTGACATAATTTCAGAGACATGACCAAAAGGTTCGAAAAGAGATAAACATGTGCTTTGGCAAATTTTTCACTTTAAATATCATTTGCAATGTTCTTTTTTTCCTGTTGACTTCAAGACATATGACACTAGTATCAAAAAATGTTTAATTATTGTGACTTATTAATGAACAAACCTGTATGCTATTAAAATAATGAACATTTTATAGATGTTTCCTTAAGAAAAAAGTGCTTTATATGTGGATTCGAGCCAAAGCTGAACTTGACAGACCCCTGTATCACCGAGCAATGCCACCAGGCTACTGTGAACAATTACAGTGATGCAATCAGCTCCCGGTGAGCCATTCTATTGATTAGTTCATTAAGTCTGAACCCATAATCTGTTGCCAGGTCAGATGGGTTTGACCCATCAAGAGACTTTAAACCAGGGTCTTTAGGGAAATCTCAAAAACATATATACTCCAAGGCATAAGTAGAAATATTTTTTCATATTAATATTTCAGCGTGGAGAAGTAGCGTTCAGGACTGAACGCTACTTCTCCATGTTTGGTCCTGACTCTGGGGATGCAGAGCAGAACCAGAAGCAGAAGACTGGAGGGGTCCAGAAGGCTGAAACGGCATAACTTCATACCAACGGGTTTGCAGAACTGGGTCATTTTCTCTCGGTTAGTGTATCGATTGAGAGAGCCTGGCTAAAGAATTTTAATTCACATGAATCAAAGATGAAACGCACATATCACATGGAGATTGAAATACATGTTGAGCTCAAAGCGTTTACGTTTGCGGGCGTTCTTGTTCAACAGCGTCGTTTTTGTTTTTCAGGTGTCCCTGGTTGATGAAGGTCATCTCTCCTGCTGTGCCTCTCTACAATGGCCTGGTCTTCCTCTTCGTCTTGGCCAACTTCAGCATGGCAACCTTCATGGACCCTGGTATTTACCCCCGAGGTTTGTGCTTAACTCACACACCTGACCTGACTTTCTTCCCACATTCCTCATTCAAATCTCCGACAGCCACCTGCCCTGCTGCAGATGAAAACGAGCGTTTCCGTCCCCCGCTAGGCCACGAGGAGAAAAGTTTATCAGGGCCACATTTATCAAAGCGCTAAGCTGCGGTACACGGTGTTTCACTGCAATGTGCTCTTAAATGATAAGAACCTGTCAGGAGGAGGTTATCATGTTTCTCTTCACAAAGGGGGAATAATCAGCAGGTTGTGAAGACTGTTCCCGTCTCTTCCTGTCACATCCTGTTGGCAGCCCAAATTAAATCATAATAATTAAAACGCTGGCACGTAAAACTCAAAAAAAAAAAAAAAATTAAATAAAATCTAGTCTATCTTGTCAAAGTGTTTGTGAAAGCATGATAGCATGAACGTCTTCCAAATGTTCTCTTTTTTACATTTTTATTGCCTTTGGGGGAAATGCATTTTTTGTGTTGAAAATGGTTCCCAGGACTCTTTAAATAGCTTCAGTGTGAAAAGATTTATTTCTACTCTTATTAATCGTTCAGACGAAGGCTGACTTTTCTCATTTCAATAGTCAAAACTAGTGAAAAAGCATTTATTTTTGATTCAAGATAATGTTTCAAGTCAAGTTGCAATAAAATGTACAATTGTATATATAAAGATGTTTATTAGCAGTTATCAAAGCAACAACTTTCCTCAGATCTGGGTAAGACGTGCGTATGAATTTAATCCACTTGTTTTCCTTTTTATTTCTTTATTTTTAAAAAAAACCTCAAGTCTCTGCTGCCCTTACAGCATCTTCCCAGCAAAAACAACAAAGTCAGTAAGCAGGCAGTAATAGCAAGAGAGCGTTTGAACATTATTATACAGAATAGCTCATAAAATAAAAACTCTGTTTTACTTAAGCATTGGCCAGTTATCAAGGTATCAAAGGTCAAGTGAGGTTCTGAAAAGTCACAGTTTCAAAAAAGCTAAAATGTTCCCTGTTTCCACTCTTGTTGTTCTAATAGTCTTCAATCAGACAGACACCAGAGAAAAGATTGTTTATGCATCTTTTGGATTAAAAATAGTTCTCGGGACTCTTTAAATAGCTGCAGTATGAACAAATCTCTGATTTCGACTCATTAAATCGTTCAGATGAATCATTTTGGCGAAAGTGTAACGCTGTCCCAAGGCCAGAGTTATGCGCTCTGAGCCACATGTCGGTAAAACGGCTAACTGCAGGCTACCTGGCTACAGCATCTCTGATCAACAAGTAAATGCAACACACTTTGCGTAACAGGGTGGAAAAAGCTAAACACTATTAAAGCCCAAATACCATGTTTGGCTGAATAAACGCTGGAAACGCCTTTGAAGATGTAGTAAATGGCTGATTATTTTTGCCTATTTGCATTAGAGTTTGTAGAAGGGAAGCTGAGAGAGAAGACGCTCTCGCCCTGAGAGCTAATGTAACACAGCTAATCTCTTTCTGTGTGGCTGATTATTTCTGTGCTCTGCTTTTGTTTCGTCCCCCCCTCCCTTCTTTCTCCCTCTCTCTCGCTCTCGCTTTTAATTTACTTGCCTTGGTCCGCTTTCTGCCACAGAACCTACCTGGCTCTCCCCTCAGGTGTTATTGTACTGTGAAATTATTTTCTCATGTTCAGGCTTCAGTTGAATGTACTCTTTGATCAGGTGAAAGACTTTCCCCTCCACACACACACACACTTTTCTGCTGCAGCTAGAAAATAAACACTTTGTGCTTTCAGTCACAAGGTTGGGTTTTACATAAACGGAACCAAAAAAAGAAACAGACGGTTGAAGGTTGCGCTTTTCGTTACCGTTCTCAGCTAAGAGTGAAACGAGTTCGTGGAGAACGAACACGCAGAGAAATAAAGCCAAGTTATTCACTCTGTACATGAGTCACAACATTCCCATTAATCTGTGTTAATGCTCGCAGCAGACTGAATAGGTCACGTCCACAAAGAAACGTCCGCTTCTCTCGGCGCGTTTGCTCTCGCCGGAGGCGGCCGGCAGCAGGGACGAGCTTCGTTTAAGGTGCTTCGCCGTCAGACGGAATCAACGAGGAGAAGCAGCGTTCAGCATCTATGCACCACAAATTTGGAACAAACTTCCAGAAAACTATGAAACAGCTGAAACACTGACTTCCTTTAAGTCTTGACTAAAACCGCCCCTGTTTAGAGTTGGATTTCACACGTAATCAGTTACAAATTTAATGATTATTGGCTGAGAGTGTTGCAATTGTAGCTACATATTAAAAATGTTTTATTTGCGTTGTCGTGGCACTTGACTAAATGTAGTTTTTGATTATTGATTCTATGTTGCATGACTTTGTGTTTTTGTGTTTATTGTGTAAAGCACTTCGAAATGCCTTGCGGCTGAAATGTACTCCACAAATAAAATTTGATCGATTGATAAATCAAAACCGCGCGTCTTTCCGTGCGTCTGCATTCGTCACACGGGAGCGAGCTAAGCAATTTTCCTCCTGATCCGTCACGGGCATCTCTGCACCCTGACAATGTCTCTCTGCGTGTGTGTCTGTGCGTCTCGCAGCTGACGAGGACGAGGACAAGGACGACGATTTCCGGGCGCCGCTTTACAAAAACATGGAGATCAAAGGCATTCAGGTCCGGATGAAGTGGTGCGCCACCTGCCACTTCTACAGGCCGCCCCGCTGCTCACACTGCAGCGTCTGCGACAACTGTGTGGAGGTGTGTATGTGGGGACAGAAACGGGCCCCGCTTCAGCGCACTTGCAGCCTAAACGTGTGCCAAGGTTAGACTGAAAGTTAGACTGATGACAGCATTTATATCCCAAATGTCAGAAATGACCGATTCAGCAGCCCTGTGAAAAATAACGCTTGTTTTCACCTAATACGTGTTTGGAGATTGGTTTATCTCGCAAGAACACAAAGAAATTGGCAAGAGAGCAGCGGTAAGTGACCATAGCTACCGGCTCTTGGCCGTCTCATCCACCTAACGGTGTTATCAGCAACAGCTTTTAAAATCCCATCTCAAATAAATTCAGAGAGATATCCACCTCTACTCACAGCGCATCACAACTTCTCACATTCTTTTAGGTTTGGTAGATGGAGTTTCTAATAATTAAACTAAGAAATGTTTGAATATTTGCCAAAAAAAATGTCCCAACTGCATTGTTTACATGCACTATACAGATTGACATCATTTTTCCTCACTGTCTCACATTAGCAGTTAAATTGTTTAATTTGAGAGGCTGTTCAAAATCATACCTGGAGCATTGCCTCGATTCTTTCATGCATGTTTGAGAAATCCTTTCGTCTCCCTTGGCAACCATTCAGCTGTGCAAAACGCCAAGGTGGACCAAGCTCCGCCTTAAGGGACCAAGCTCCTCCTCCGAGCTGTAGTTTCCAAGCACCTCACAGAGCAGAGCCTGTGACTCCCACACTCAACTCCTGCAGACTAGCTATCAGTAATTAGCAAACAAACGGTGTCACTGCATATCTGCTGGGCTCATTATAGGAGCTACTACTCAGTAAAATGCTGGTAAAAAAAAAAAAAAAACGTTAAAGGGTCAACAGAGGAGCGGTGCTCTGATGACTTCCTGAAGGCAGAGTTTCAGACAGAACAGGATGTTTTTAAAGAAACATGTTCGACATAAACAATTTTTAGAACAGTTGGAGGTAAAATTGTTACTTGACTGATCTATAAAATGACACTATATGCATTAAAAATACATCCTGCTGCTCCTTTAAGATTCTGAAGTTTGCATAAATTTCATGGGTGTTTTTGGTAGAATCGTCTTTTGACTTGAGTCACATATTTTGTATTTCTTTCTTCCAAGGGTCTTACAATGTCTTCCTCCGCTCTCCTCAGGATTTCGACCATCACTGTCCCTGGGTGAACAACTGCATCGGTCGGAGGAACTACCGTTACTTCTTCCTCTTCTTGCTGTCGTTGAGCGTTCACATGGTGGGAGTTTTCTCCTTCGGCCTCATCTTTGTCCTCCACCACAAAGAAAAGCTGGGAGGACTTCACACCACCGTCACGTATCCTTTCACTGCCGTCGTGCCAAACTGCAGTGTATAGACTCTAAAAAATCCCCTGGTATATTGATCGATGATGGCCGCTGAGCAGGATTTCCGCGTTACGCCTTGACTTGTGCGTTACCAGCATGGTGGTGATGTGCGTGGCGGGGCTGTTCTTCATCCCGGTTATGGGCCTCACGGGCTTCCACATGGTGCTCGTAGCTCGGGGTCGAACGACTAATGAACAGGTGAGGGGCGCCGATAAACGACTGCAATGAAATCCACGCACGCTCGTGTTTCTGGTCGTTCTCCTCCGTCTGTAAATATTCGCGTGCGCGTTTCGTGCGACCTTGTGACGCACTGTGCCCTCCTCAGGTGACGGGCAAGTTTCGTGGGGGAGTGAATCCATTCACCAAGGGTTGCTGTGGCAACGTGGAGTACGTCTTATGCAGTCCGCTGGCGCCCAGGTAACATGCAACGCTCCAGCGTGTGAGCGTACACACACTCGCATGCATTTGAGCTTTCCTCCCACCTTCCCGTGTGCGGCATGAGTCAGCACATGAATCCAGATGCGTTGCATGTGTCTGTGGCTCATTAAAAGCTCACGACATCGATGCCGTTTGCACAGACTGATCGGCCCCACCCAGACACTGCAGTGACGAACACGGGCTGCGCCTGGTCTGAGCCGGCTGCAGCCGTGTCCTGCATGTATGCGGTTCTGTCTGACAGCCGCCAGCAGAACCCTGCGGGGGGAAAAAGGCAGATGGCCGAGAGATTTCACTCACTCTGCACAGAAACGGCTGAAGGGAAGCAGAGGCAGTTAGCATGATTTGTCGTCCAACAGAAGGTCCTTAAAGTGAGCAGATATTTGAAATCCAAGTGAAATAAGGCCCCATTTCCCAGAAACGGTAAACACTTAAGATGTGCTCTGTTATCTGTACCTGCTGTTTTAACTGTTGCTTGGAGATTTTTGGATATTAAAGCAATCATTACAAGAAAGCACTTGTAATGATTTTTCTTTTTTTGTTTTTGTCTTCTTTTTTACAAATGTGGCAGCCAGTCAGGGGTGATGATTTAGAAATCTTGTATTTGCTTAAAAATACAAAAGAGAACAACTCCATTTCTAGTTTGTTGAGAAAAGAAAAAAAAGTAATCCTATCTTTTCCAAAAAATCTTTCTAATTTAGGAGTAATTTGTTTGCATTTGACTTGGTTCTCCAAACTTCACATAGCAAGTACAGCAGAAATATCCGCAATGCAGGATAACCCAAGTTACAGTTGAGCCTAAAATTGTTCAGATTTTGGTTTTCATTCAAGCAATAAGTTTATTTCTGACAGGAAGTCAAGGATAACAGCACAACATCTTTGAATGTATTTTTTTTTTATATCAGGTTTTAGCCTGGTCGCTGAGAGTATATGATTTAGCTAATCCCACCCGTTTTCCATTTTCTCTTGTTGAAAAGCGAAGAAAAAACATTTGCCTTCCAGATGTTTGACACCAACATTTCCAGTACGACTGGCACCATTTGTACAGAGTTTCAGCATGTTGGGTCTAAAGTTCAGCACCTGTCAGGAAAACCGAGTCCTGGATGAAGAGCCTGTCTGTTCACGTGCCGCCGTTTTGTACAGGTACGTGTCGGACCCCAGGAAGACACCCCACGTCAAAATCCAGCCCCCGTTCATACGACCGGACCTCTCTGACCGGCAGATCACCGTCAAGGTCAGCGACAACGGCATGCACAGCACGATAGTGAACTCCAAGGTGAGTTACCGCTGAACTCGACCCTCCGAAACCCACATCATCCCATCAGCCTTAGAAACAACTCCATCCTCCGTCGGTGACACACTTCCCCGTTTTTAGACAATAGTTAAGTCCTTTATATCAGAGCATTTTCCACGTGAAAATGGAGATTATCAGACTCTTTGACTTCAAAAACAACTGACTCAGAAAGGAGACAAAAAATCTTTTGGTTATGACTCGGAAATTTTGTTCCGTTCGTCTGGATTCAGTGCGTAGTTACATTATTTAAAAAAATAAATAAAAAATAAAAAACAAGGCCATGGCAAACGTTTTGCATTTATGGTTTTGCGTCTCAGTCAGACATCTTGCTTTTGTTGACGGCATGGAGGTAGATTCACTGACGCACAGTGATGTCAATTAAAGGAGCTCTTAAAGACAACATGTTCCGAGAATCTGGTTAAATGTCACCGCTTTTAAGTCGCTTCATAGCACACATAAATAAGGTCTTTTTCTGCAGCTTTATGGGGTTTGAAAAAATTGTTGTACGCCTTGAACTTTTTCTAAAATGTTGTCATGTAATAACCACAAACTGCTCCATCCAAACCCAGCAAGCCGCCTGAGGAAGATTCCACTCCTCGCAGTGCTATGCAGGCATAAACGTTGATTAACAAAATACTCGTGGAAGATGCATGAAAAATGTTTCATCGGTTTCCACTTAGAAAAGAATGCATTTAACGCGAGCAAGTTGAGTCGTTGCTTCATGCAGCCGTCCGTGGGAGTTGCATTATTAGTGCATCCTTAGCAACAACAGATGGTCCGCTCGGTTAAACGTGCCAACCCCCTCTGTGCCCCCCCACCTGTTCTGGATGCCTCTAACTCTCCCTCTCCTCCTCGCAGTCCAAAAGCAGCATCGACGGCCTGGACGGCAAAGAAACCCAGCCGCCGCTGCCCCCCAAAGCTGACAGGTACAACCAGCTGAAAGGCCAGCTGACGTCCAGCGAAGGTACGACGCTCCTTTGCACTTCTGGTACTCATAATCCGATCGTGGTTCGTCTTTTCTGGTAGCGTTGCACCAAAAGACAACTTTTCCAAACTCCGTCCGTAGATCACAAGTGTCCCAGTTCTTGGAGTTGGCTCTGGATAAGCCTCACGACGAGTTCATGTTTGTTCCAACAATCTTTGGTCGTTTTAGTGTTCGAGCCAAGGAACTGGCTTGATCCGTATTGAAGAGACCAGCTCTGCACAGAGAATCAGTGTGTGTTTGGGGGTGGGGAGGTGGAAAGAAATGAAATGAATCACCACCCTTTCTTTCTTTTGTGGGTTGTCAGAAAACTATTTCTGCAGCTAACAAGGTTGTATAAATCGGTGTGAATGGTACTGAGTAGGTAGAGTGCCATTCATCAGCATGAGGTGTCAGAGAGGGATAAAGCAAGCAGGTTAGCTACTGAATATCCTCAGTGTCATGCTGCATTATGTCAGGGAGGGAACACTTCTTGATTATCCACGGAGCAACACTGCCATCTGGTGGTGCTTCAAAGTGCTGCTGGTGTTTCTGAAGCGTATTTGTTGAAAAGGGTCCAATCATTTTGTCAATTTGTCATTAAAGGGGCAATTCTGCAGTCCCTGCTGACTCGTTGGGAATCTAGCGTTAACAGCGGACGACTAACAGCCCTGACTATCTTTTCTCCTGCCACTATAACATCAGGATCTGGAAGTTTATTTTAAAAACTTTAAAATAAACATGTTTAGTAGTTTAATAAGCTATCAAACATCTTTAATAGTTGTTAACGTGACATGGAAGAATGAACTTCAGAGCCAGTCGCATCACAGCCATTGCAGTTGACAGCTTATCCTCACTGCATTGCCTGTAAAGTTTGAATGAAATAAAAAACAGAGTACCGAGTGACGTGCAGGCATCATGGAAAAATATTCTATAATGATAAGATGTTTTAGATTGCTGTTTTCACCCAGTGGTTTGTACTACAAAGTACCTATTTAACCAATTCTGATTATTTTTTCTTCAAAATCGCTGAGTTTTCGCATTTTCCCATTCAAATGCTCGGAAGCGAAGCCGGTGAGGCAGCAGTGAGCTGAGCCTGCTAAAAATCATGTCATGTTTAAACTGATTTTCCATAATTTAGCTTATGTTGGTGTTTTTGTCACCAGTTGTGTGTGTAACGTGTTTCGTGTGCTGAGATCAGAAACCGCAGAGAACAGATTCGAGGTGAGGCAGGCAGTTCTCTTGCCTCATGGCAGGGGGCGCTCATGATCCCAGACATTGTGACTCCACAACTGCAGAGTAAGAGACAGTAACTGCGAGCTAGCCGTGAAGCTAGCCATACGGGAAAAGTCAAGTGCAGCGATATATTTATAGTTTTCTCCTCTTACCACAGCAATCACTTATTAATAATCACACAATAAACATTAAGCGTAAAACAGTACTACTGCAACAGACGGACTGTTCTGCTCTTTGTGTGCGAAATATTTGATTTTCTTTTTGTGGCGTTGTTGTCAGTTGCTATGTCTGATTTTCATTAATCAGTGTCTCACCAGATCTGACCAACAGTACTGTCAACCATTTAAATAGTCATCTCAGCACGTTTGTTTTCTATCACCTTTTATGCTTTTTTTAATTGATTATTCGAGCACAGAGAATGTCGCTTGTATGAAACAAGAAAAGCAAAAGACAACTATTAGGTGTTTTCTTTGTATTTTTTGTTTCTACAGAAAGCTCTCTTTCTGGAAAGACCCACCCTTCCACGCCAGCTATGTACAGATTCAAGCCATCCTTTGGCACAATGCCGAAAGTCCACTACCACACTGCCGGAGAGAAGGTAAGTAGAGATCTTAACTTTTTTTTTTTTTTTTTTTGCTCTGAACTATTGTTTCAAGGTTTATGAGGATTGTTTTTTTCCCCCTTTGCTTCTCAGATCGTTATGCCAGATGGTCGAAAAAATTCTGCCATCTTGGAAGAAGGTGTGCGATCTGACTACCGATCTGAGCCAAATCTTGATCTGCCCGAGTATGCCAACGCTCCGCTCCACCGCACTTTCCAGTCCTCACCTCACCAGCTGGATGCTGATCCCACCAACTCCCGCACGCTCAGCCTGAAGCAAGGTCACCGCCGGCCAGAGAAGGGCCAGTTGCAGGCGCTGCCGCCCCAGACGGTTGCTTCCACTGCGTATAAGGGTGTTTTCTCTCCAAACACTCTCTCCAACCGTAACGGCAGTCTGTCCTACGACAGCCTTCTCAACCCCAGCATCTCTCCAGCCAGTGCCAATGAGTGCATGGCCCACCGGGGTATGCCATCCATGGGATTCCATTCACCCTACCTGCCCACCAAAATGTGCCACATCCGGGAATCTGAGATCCATAGACAACAGGTTGCTCAAACTTACAGTCCGGTGATGCCTCCCAGAGGTTTGGGCAGGCAATCCCCTCACCTAAGGGACAGAGAGCCATCTCCGGTGCGCTATGACAACCTCTCCCAAACCATAATGGCCTCCATCCAGGAGAGGAAGGAGAAGGAGGAGAGGGAGAAGCGGCAGATGCTGCATGGACGCTCCCAGACCCATATCTATGCCCAGGACTCTGGCGTGTTCGACGCAGGTTACGGTCCACCCACCAATGTCAGCTTCCTAGATGGACCTCGTGGGTACGGGTCTCGAGGCCCGACACCGCCAGCGTACGGTGGCTCCAGGGACAATCTGATGGGGGTCGGGCTGGCAAACTACGGCCAAAGAACCCCCGTATTGCGTCACGCTGGTACCACTCTTGGCCGGGCCCCCAGGACTTCATCCACCTCCTTACACACAGACCACAGCAGCTCTAATAGCAGCCAGGGCAGGGCCCCCAGCCACGAAGGCTCCTACCGCTCCCCCACCCACAAGCCTCGATCCCCAGCCATGCCCCGATCCCCCTCCTACTCCCACCAGAAACTTTCCTACATCAGCGCTCACGACAGGACAGACTCCCCTTGGTTAGGGGGCCAGAGGTATGAATCCTGACATTCCCCCCCTCCCAGGGGGCTGCATGCGTTGTAGCGATCGAGTGGGAACTGGAAGCCCTGCTTGTTCTGGTGATCACAGCCAGCAGTTCATCACCTCTTATGTGTTATGCCTAACTGAGGCAACTTGTAGCATCTTTGTCTTGTTGATGACATTCTGTTCTCCATTTATTAATTTGTTCTCTCGATGTGACTTTGCACATGTCCTGTATGATTGCCTTCTAGAAAACACCTTTTTTTTCTTCTTCTTCTTTTCTTTCTGAATTTGTCTATTTAATAAAAGATCCGAGTCCCAGTTTCGTTTTCACGAGCATGCCTTCGTTTCCACCACTTGTCTCCCATCTCCTTTTCTGTCCTCTAACAAAACGCACCAAAATAATCCTCCATGCTGCTGTTGAGATTTCATTCTTTGAGATCCGAACAGGTAACCTGCATGTTTCCGCTCTTCGTTCTGCGTTGAAGCGCTTTAGCTTTTGGTGTTGAATCGTCTTCGTTTTTGTCTCCTCTTTCCACTTTAGAGACGCCATGAAAGCTAACGGGCAGATGGACTGCCACCTGAGCCCCAGTCGCCACGGTAACGTCAAAAAGGTGACGGGCGTCGGCGGCACCACATACGAAATATCTGTGTGAGCGAGGAAAGCACCCTCAGCTTTTTCACAGCGACGTCGCCGTGCAGAGGAGAAATGGTCTCTTTAGTACCCGGTGATGTGATTCAACTGTCCAATCAAAGGAACTCAGTGTGTGATGCTGTCAAAGCAATACCGTATCAATCTGTGCTGACAGAGAAGAGTAGTAGAAAACACAAAAAACAAAAAAAACCCACCTCAACAAGTGATGTGTGTGTGTGTGTGAGCTTGAAGGCTTTTGTCGTCAATAACTGACTCGCCATCTTGGTCGGTGGAACCGGAAGTCCGGGCAGCTTGTCGTGAGGCGGCTGCTCCGGACGCCCGAACCTCGGCAAGAAGACTGCTGCTCGGGTCCGGCGCGGCAGGAATTCATGGTGCTTCACTTTTTCTCCTCCCGTACCGCTCACATGGTCTCCGAGTCTTCAAGGCTTTGAGAGTTTAGGAAACATAACAGGAGTGGAAAGAGAAGGTGAAGGTTTTTCTCATCTCGTCTGATGGTTGCATTCCAAATTCAGTTGCTTTTGATTGAAGAAAGGAAAAGATAACCTTTTTGTTTGTTAAAAATATTTTTTTCTCAGGAATTAATGCAACCAGCAGACATGCTAGTTGACATAAATTCATATATAATGAATGTGTTTTGTTTTTCTTTCTTCTTCTTGAGGTTTATTGCAGGTTATTTAGGGCTTTCTTTTGCCCTTGTACCTTCACAAAAAGGGCAGTATGGAGCTGTAAGCCCTTGTTTTTCAGAGGCTACCCTACAACACAAGAGCTGGGCTGGTATGTTTGCATTCTGAAGTACAACAATACCTCATCACAATATTTCTCACGGACTCCAGATAAGTTCAGACTTGCACAGCCCCAGAAAAACCCATGTTTCATCAAATAAAGGACAAAAAATATATAAATATGTCATTTAAAAATGAGTCAAATAAGGTGTCTTTTTGATACAATTTTTGTTTTTTCTTCCTTTAATGTGCCCAATGGCTTAAAAACAATGTTTGATACATATTTTTATACCTACATTTGGTAGGATTTTAATGTTTAAAGTGAGGCGCTCCTGATAGATATGCTTAAAAATGAAGAAATTATGAAATGATTTCATCTTTGCTTGCAGTAGCATAACATAAACCCGATTTGTTTTTTTCTGAAAAACGACACCTTTAACTTGAGTATATTCATTCAGTTGGAGGTAACCCACCGCCCTCAAATCCCCCTCCCAAAAAAACTATACATATATGTATTTGGGTTTTTTTTTTCATCTGGATAAATATACTCAAAAAATGACTGTCAAATTATGCTACTGTGGCAAAAGATCAATTTATTTTAAGGGTTGTTTTTTTTTAACACATCTTTACCAGAGTTGCCAGTAAATGTGTCCAGGTCTGTAAATATATCATTGCCATGAATTCACGAGACGAATCAGATCGTGGATAATGGGTCAATTGAAATTTTGCTTGTTTTATGTTGCTGTGCAAGAATAAGTCTCTGGTAAATCGTAACTGACAGATTTGTGTTTTGGAAATTAACGTCAAAGTCACGCGACTGGTGAGCAGTCACGTGGTCCTGATGGTCAAACATTACAGGTCAAGGAATGTGCATGTCATTAAAACTGCCTTGACTTATCAAAGCCAAACGTGGCCATGCTTCTCTGCATTGACATCTGTGCTTAAGTAGAGTGGAAATGATCGGACAGTTGTGCAGACGCTGTCTGGTACAGCGCGTCGACGTTTTTCTTTACTGTCGAGATGTGAAAACCTGAAGGCAGACGTTAATACAAGCTACATGTCAGATTTGTTTGCGCTACAAGAAAAGCCACCGTTGCCTTTTTTTTTTTTTAAGTGAAGGAACAGTTTCCTACACAGCTAAGTGTGTCTGAAACTCTGCTGAGAGACAATGAAATGCAATCTATCAGATTGAGCAGAAAGTGACTCTGGAGAGCTGTCTGGGCTGAGTGAACCTTTTAAACTGCAAAAGAAGAAGAAAAAAAGCAGGGCGACTCGAAACTCCAGCGCCTCTCATCTGGTTGGTTTAAATTTCTCTGAAGTTCAAAGCAGAAAAACCAGAGGCTGTGGTTGTCATTTGCTAGGGTTGAACCTTTGCAGTTTGACCAACCTGGGTCTCACCCAGCTGCCTTAAACTGAACGTTCTTGATAGGCTGTGGTCAACAGGGCTATTTTGGCAAAAGTGATGGTTGGGTGAACCAATAAAACGTAACAGTTGTTTTGTTTACTTAACTCCTGTTTATGGTGACTTTCAAGCCCCGGTCTGACCATGTCTCCAAGTGCAAACAACCGTCATTCCACCTTAAGGTGACGACTGCCGTTACGCCAGTGTTTCTTTCCTATGATGGACATCACTGCAGGTCAGGGCCCCATTCCTGACGGTCGACAACGACCAACCATTTTGTTTCAAAGACATGTATGTATAATAGAGAAAACACAATAGCTGTATATGTGTTCCTAGTTTTGTGAAGAGGAAATATTCCCAATGACCCGAAAGAATAAAATTCCCCAACTCTAAGCGAATCTGATTCATTCTTGATAACCACCTGCGAGAGGAGCTGATGTTTTATATGAACTGCGTCCAATAGGGGGCGCCAGAGATCAATATGCTCAAATCACCACAGGCACACAGTCGAAGTGGTGATTTGAGCAAATTGAGCACTACCGCCCCCTTCTGGACGGCATTATGATCACTACACCACAGACTGTTGTCAACAATTATTTTAGTTTATTCAGACATTTGAATATTTGAATAAAAAACCTCGTAAAGTAAAATATGATAAATGCTGTCAAAATGCAAATTTTTCTAAGCACAAGCCAGTTTATATCCTATATAGTTTTACAGTAATTTACAGAAACTGAACTTTCATTACATATTTTCTTATGTTTGCACTGAGACTGGAGTCAAGCGCCACCAGAAGAAAAACAAACCATATCCATCACATGAGCTTTAGCTGTTGCATTGCGTTGACCAGACAGAAGTTTCTTACCTGGACGGTTGCCCAGAGATCTAAAGTTTCTCCATAAGAGTAAATTTTATTGGGTTTTCTGACGAGCTTCATGGAGCCGCTTTTGTTTTCCAGCAGGATTTGCAATTATCTCACATTGTAAAAATGACCAATGGTCAATGAAGCGCGCAAGACGAATCACTCAGAACTGAGTGAACATGCTGTAAAGCACATGGACAGTTTTTAGTAGGGAGACGTTTCAGTACTACAAGTCCTTTTTATTTTTCTGATAATATTAAAGTTTCCTACAAGAAAAGTGAGTTTTCATTCATTCTAGCAACAATAAAGCTACAGTTACAAATTTGAAAACACATTTAGTTTTCAAATGATGTTTCCGATGACATTTTCATTTACCGATGTGGGTTCTCATACATGGATACAAGCGTGTGATCTTTGCCAGCTTTTATTTGAAGGTGGAGGAAACATTTCAGTTCATCTGAGTGCAAACAAAGAGCAACATTTCATCCATATACATGTATTTACAGATGCACTGGCACTTGGATGCACTGAAGAGTCAAGGTAGAGAGAACGTATTTGGTGGAAAGAAAAAAAACAAAACAAAAAACAAAGGAGCGGGCGGTGAGAACACAGAACCAAAATGGGGCGCACTCTGTTACATACACTTTACATGCTTTGAAGTCTGGGAATGTCATGAGCTAAAAACATACAAACTTATCTCCTGATGAGAAACACGACTCAGGGGAAGAAAAAAGAAAAAGCTGCACAAATTAATGAACCGTTTTTACTTTGGACTTCAAGACTTTTTTTTAAAAAAGAAAGATTCTTCACTAAGTGGTGGACACTGTGACTTCAAAACCCTCGTCTGATGCTCCCCAACTGTCCTCTTTTAGTCAGACTGAGCTAAACCGAGGGAAAAACCCACTCGGAGACGTCTTCACCTTGCCATCTAATAGTGGAAGTGCGGACAGGACGCGCAGGGAGTCGTCAGTGGGTTTCACCTTCAAAATGCGCCTCCATAATGCCTGGTTCCTGACCTGGTGCTGCTAATGAGCAGGCTACATTATCCCCCCTCACCCTACAAATGAACTCCGCTTCAGAATAACAAAAAGAACGAAAAAAATACCCCAATGTGGGAATCATCGCTATCACAAGCCTCTTTTCACAGTTTGTTAATAGTAATGTCCAACTCTCAAAAAGCAAGGGTGGAAAAGTGTGGGCTTCCACTGAGCAAAACGGGAACAGGGTCAGAGAAAAATATATATTTGTTTTTAACTTTGTTTCTGATATTTTCTCCAGTGGCTTCAAGGACTTGTGATCTTGAGGCAAAACAGATTTAAAAGAAAAAACAAAAAACTAATATGCAAGAGTCCAAATTCAGTTCATAGAGTCTATTGTAGAAAAAGAGGAAAACTGAAAAAAACAAACAAAAAAAAAACTGAAGATCAGCAAAGCAAGTTCTTGGTTCTTAATTCTTCTCAGCTTTCACCTCATTTTTCTCATCTTCATTTTTAGTTTCCTTTTTGTTCTCTTCCTTCTTTCCCTCAGAGGCTTTATCTTTGACTGAAAGCTCCTCCAGCTTCTCTGCCACCTTGTTGGCACCATCAGTGTTGCCTGTGGCGAAAACAATAACGTGAACATTTTTAGCAAATTTTCTTATCTTAAAATGTGTTGATTTCTATGACTGCGTTTTAAGGCCATTGTAGATAGAAAGAGTTTCTTGTTAAAATAATAATAAAAATTCTTGAGTTTTTTATTTTTCTGGCAAATTTGCCACTTTTCAAATTCAAATTAATGCGAGTTTTGGGTGCAAAGTTACTCTTCTTTATGATTATTGAATCTACAACGGCCCTAATCCGCCGTCATAAATTTCCATTGCTGGTACAAAGTGTTTAAAGAAAAAAAAAGAAGTAAAAATCCATTTAAAAAGAAGCCAAAATGTAGCAAAATGCAACACTAGCAGACTTTTAGCAAAGCTAGTCGTGTCACATTCTGCATGTTTATGTAGCAGACAGAAAAAGTCCCAGGCTGGAGTTAGCAGCAAAGAACAGAGTGTGTCTGCATTGCATTTACATTTTAGAATGAGTTTTTGTTATTCATGTCAGTTCATTTGGTAGAATTCAATTTTTTGTTGTAAATAAATTCTACCAATCATCATCCAGCTAATCTGGGGTCCTGGAATGAATTACTGTTATGATGTTAATGATATTATTGTTTCATTCAAATGTGTCTACAACTGTAAACAGCACACTGAAACGTACCAAATAATCTAGAAAAATCTAAAAATGAAGAAGGTTTATGGATTATGTACCTGATCCCTCAAGTTGCTTTTTCACTTCCTCTTTGCACTCATCAAATTTATTCTTGAACTTCTGCGCATCTGTTGAAGGAAATTGCAGTTTGTCAGCTAAAGCAAACAGGAATACTGGATGCTACTCACTGGATGCTACTCACTTTCTGCATTTAAGAAGCGTATTGCCAGGAGTTCTGGTTTTGGACATTCATCTGCGTAGTCTGCTAGTGTGTTCCACACCCATGCTCTGTCACTGCCGGAGTTGGGCTTCAGCTCCATCAGCGGGCTGACTGCGGTTCACAGGAAGGTCAAACTGTTACAAAGGCACAACCGACTGGAGGTACGTCTGTGCGGACAACACCGCTTCACAGCGGATAATTTAAATCAATGTGAAATGTTAGCTCAGTCCAGCAGAACCGCCTAAATGTGCTACAACATTATTTGCTTTAACTTTTCTCTCCTAACTAACAAGTAGGAGGTGAAATTTATTGCCTTATCTTGATCAATTCTGTGTCATGATTATTTTTGATTTATCTTTGACATGATAAATTCCAATTAATGAAGTTTAAAATCCCTCATCACTGCTCTTACTGTTGGGATTGTCAGTTCTACTAGTTTCTCCACTGTTTGTTCAATAAAAACCAATACATTTGAGAAACCTGCTAGCACTTGCAGCTTAGTGATACAAATCAAAATTCTTTATGTGACTGGTGTCCTAAAGAAGAGCACTGGAAATGAGAAGGTTCTTCTAGAGTGACATCTGTTTGTGGGGATCTGAATGCTGTTTACAGCCGCACAGCAAAAAACAAAAAAAGTTGCATACAACTTTTATTGTCATCACAATAGTACCACAAACTATTGTGATAAAACTTTAAACTTTACTAGCAAGTGTGTTGAAAACAAGGCGTTCATTTCTGATTTTAATTTTATTATGTTATTCAATTAGATGTAGGCATGGATATGCTTATATAATAACTTGGGTTAGAAAAACTAAAGTCTCATGGTATAAACACACACACAAAAAAAAGCTCAACTTTAATAAAAAGAAACAACCAGGTTTCCTTCGGGGTATTATAAGACTGGTGGGCTGCCAGGCTTTACATGACTTCCCGTCAGGCTAAGAGTCGTTTGTTTATCTCAAATAGTGATGAACAAACCAACATAAAAAACTAACTAAATAAATAAAACTCCTAAACTGGAAAATATTTTAGCGATTCCTTGTTGGATAGCATTCGGGAAGCTGACTCACTCTGATGATTGGCACAGATCTTCAAAGTTCGGTCTCTCCTCATCAGGAGGCGGATCGTGCCCTTCTCTTTGTGTTTCAGCAGCTTCACGTCCCCCGTCCCCCTCTCCTTCCACTCGGGAGGGTCGTTCTCAGAGGCAAAGCGATACAGTTTGGCTCGCCTGGGTAGACAGCAACACTTTGTTTCAAAGACGCAGATGCAATTGAAGCGACAGCTTGGTGAAGAGTTTTTTTTTTGTCTGCTTACTTCTTCGACTTGCACTAGACTTAAATATCAACCACATATCGATATGGTAAGTGTTGCCTTCTGGAATCTAAACAAAGCTTGGATTTTAAAATATTTACTCAACAAATTGCTGTGCATTTTCACCCAACGAGATACAAACTGAGATGCGAAAACTTGCGTGGCAAAAAAACCCTTACATTTTAAAGAGCACCTCTTCATCCTCTTCTAATGTTTTAACATCCTGCTCAGGAAGAGACACGATGGGCTCAAAGTGGGGATCATGATTAGTGTCCTCGGCTCCGTCTCCGGTGGTTTCGTGGTCTTCCTGGTCCTTTAGGGGAAAAGTGAAATTAGTTCCTCTGATAACAATGAAAAGAAATTCCCTGTCCAAGCAAAAACCTATATTTTGGGGTGTGCGTTATAGATTAAAACAGTTTAAAACAAAGTGATTTCAGTGAAGGCACTAAAGGTTCAATGGAGACCATGGGGGATGGAGGATTATATGTATAGCTTTTGCTACAGAGGCGGCAGACAAAGCCTTTTGTACATGACTGCTGCTGACCCCAGCTTACTGAACATCATTTGGCTTTGTGATAAAAAAAAATAAAAAAAAATGAAAGAAAATAACCCCAAATGAAGGAAGCACCCAAAACAAATAATTACAACTTTATAAGCGGAATTTTTGTGTTTGTTTTTAATAATGTGAAGGTGTGAACCAGCAGCTTGAAGACACAAGCTGCTGGTTTAGCTGGTGGGTAATAAACCTGGAGCTGACGACTGTTGTGATCTCATTGGAATTTAGCCAACAAACCGCTGGTTCACTTTAATTTTCTGTCAACTTGTAAAGTTACCCGGCTTATTAAATGGGCCTCCACCTTAGCATGCTAACAGCTAATTGCTAAGCCATCAGCCTAGTTAGACACTCCCTACCACACGTAAGGCAAGCGGCAACTTGCACATAATGACAGAAACATGAAGTGGAGCGAGACTCGTGTAACGTTACGCTAAAACACAGCAGCAAACGGGAGGTTCTTTCTTCAGCGCCCAACGATTAAAGCTAACACTAGCAAGCTAACGTTAGCTACCATAATAAGGAGACAAAGGTATGTAACGCTACCGAACCCGTCGTTTTTGTGCGGCACAATGAGTCGGTTCGGTTACCTGGGAAAAAAAATAATAATATTCATACATTATAGCAAAGTGTATTCGCTGCTTAATGACGCTCGTGAGTAGAGCAAGAAGGCTAACATGCTGACTGGCTGCACACTTCACAGGACTTCTTCTGAGCTCGTAAACCTCAACTCTAAAACGGCATGTTAAAGAAAATCCAGCATCTTCTGCGTCACTCGGCGCTTCTTACGGCTCTCCATGAAACTAAATCGATTCTCGTCATTTATCATGTCTGAAAATCCTCCCAAATATATTTTCTGCAGTCAAATGGCATACTTGTCGGCTCCTCTTTCCCGTTGCCCAAGTTTGTAAAATTTCCGCAACAAAATACACCTACCATCGAAAAATTCAGGCTTTGAATTAAAGCGTATTCATTAACTAACCTAAAAATCTCGTCCTTACCTTCGTATCTGCCATAATAAAGCAGATGTTAACAGATTATGGAAGTTGTGTGAGAGGTTCAAATCCCCAACTGGCTGCCGTTCGCGTTCTGCTGCTCTCACTTCCTGCTGGAGCTTCGCGCGCCGAATCCTCTGCGCATGCCTGCGCATGCCTGCGCCCAGCGTGACGGCGCGGGAGCAGCCCAGTTCTCTTCAAACCGCTTTGATTTTATTCCACAAAAAAAAAAAAAAAAAAAAAAAAAAAACGTTTTGGGGTGAAGTGATTGTTTCAATGAATAAAACGTCTCATCCACATTGACCTTGCTTTCGGAAATCAAACTAATCAAAAGCTAATTGTGTGGGACGACTTAATTCCCAAACAAAAACACACAGGGCATATTTTTCTCTGGAAGTCGGATAATCTCCTGAGAGACTGCAGGCATTGAAAGCAGCTGACAGTTTTGCCTTTAACAAAAGATGATAATTCAAATATGTCTAAAAGACTCACAGCAACCCATTTGCGTTTTCTAGCCGAACCTTTAAGGTGTCAAACTCCAGCCCTGGGGGGGGGGGGGGCCCGCTGCCCTGCAACTTTTAGATGTGCCTCTGCTGCAGCGCACTTGAATAGAATAATTAGGTCATTAGCAGGGCTCTAGAGAACTGATCTACACGAGGAGAAGGTCATTAAGCCATTTCATTCCAACGTTTTGTGCCTGTGGCACAGCTAAAAGCTGCAGGACAGTGTAGCCCTCGAGGACTTTGACCTGCTTTCACTAGAAAATGCACAAACACGTTTGGGATCCGAAACACGTTTTAAACGCACAAAAATCAAAAGCTATAAAACTGGTTCAAAGCAAGTGAATACAAATGTAATATATTACAATATAATGCATGATTATTGATTTGTATTTTTTTCACGCCAAGTTCTGTCTCGGCAGAAAAAAATAGAGCGTTTTTCTTCATTTATTAAGTATATTTTTCTTGCTCCAAATTTTGTGCTTACCTCTTTTTTTGGGGGCGTGAGATCATTTCTCCCCACCCCCTTGAAGCTCAATTGCGTCACAAATTACTAGATTTACGTCTTTAAAACTTCCTCTTTAGTCTTGATAAAAGTCAAACACGCATGGTTTTGCACACGTCTTCTGCACAGCTCTGCCTGAAAAGTGACGCTGTCGCTTTAAGAAACTCACGGTGGACGCTGCACGTGGTCGGACCAACATGGCGGCGCCCTGTTCAGCTTAGGTGGAAGAGAAATCGACGTTAAACAGGTGCGTGGAGGTAAGGCGCGTGGAAAACGTCCACTGCATACTATCGGGACCGAGTCACTGTTGACGCTGATGACGTTGAACATGAGCTGTGAAGTTCTGGATGTACAGAAATGCGCTCCTCTGTGCAACATGCGACTTCTGTGTTTATGTGAGCATTATAATCTAACTCGGGTGATGAAGGTGTGTTCAAGAGCCTTGGACAACCAGCACTCCTATTAGAAATCCTTATGTCAACATTGGACAACTATGAAAAACTAAAAGGTTACATTGAAGTTGGTATGATTGATATAATCTGATCAGACTGTTCACAATGTTTTTTAACTGTGCATGTAAATGCCTTATGATTGTGTTATGACAGCCCAAAGAGTGATGGCAGATCCGAGTGGTGTTGCAGCGTCAGAGGCTACATCCTCAAAGGAGGAGAAACCTGGAGATGATTTCACTCAACTCTCCAAAACCGAGGTCCCCAGCCCTGCTCCTCCAGCTGAAGGCAGCGAGGCCTCCTCAGACACCAACAAGTACCGTTACATCAAAGAAGACCTCTTCACCTCAGAGATCTACAAAGTGGAGATCAGGAACCTGCCCAAGTTCGTCGGATTCAACGACCTGAAGAAGTTCCTGGCCAAGCACGGCCTGAGCCCGCACAAGATCAAGCTCTTTGGCAAGCAGACGTTCGCCTTCGTCACTTTCAAGAACGAGGAGGAACGCGACAAGGCCATGAAGATGGTGCACGGCATGCAGTGGAAGGGCCAGGTCCTGAGCGTCAGGCTGGCCAAACCCAAAGCGGACCCCATCCTGAGGAAAAGGAAGCAAGGGGAGGACGAGGGGCAGCCGGCGTCCAAGAGAGCAGAGAGGGGCGATGAGGAGGAAGAAGAGCCGCTGAGCGTCCAGATAGCCAACGCCGTGACTCCTCTGTGGAAAGTGCCTTACGAGGAGCAGCTGAGGATCAAAGAGCAGGAGGTGGTGGAGGTTCTGCAGAGACTGGCCAAGTAGGCGGCGCCATTCGTCTGGATCCATATCAGATTAATTGTTTGTCACTGACTTTTGCGTTCATGCTCTTGATTCATTGTGACTAACCCATCGTGTTTTGATCTTCAGGGAGATTGGCGGCACCAACAAGGCCATGTTGCCGTGGCTCTTTGCGCAGAAAGGAAAATTCAACAAAATGTGTTGCCCTCTCGAAGCAGTTCGACCTTCTCCAACACAGGTATTTAACCCTCATTCCAATATTTAACTATTTAAGAGACCACACAAGAATGGGTTGTCAGTACCAGGAAGTTCCTTCAGGTCTTTTAGAAATGAGGTGTTGATGTCTGAACCAATAAATGCTCTCATTCAAAGAGTCTCGTACAACATGAAAACGTTTCTGCTCGTGTTTCTGGGTCTCGGTTAGACGGAGTACAGGAACAAGTGCGAGTTCCTCATCTCGGTGGGGGCGGACGGCGAGGATAAGACCATCGGCTTCCGCCTGGGGAAGTACAAAGGAGGCTCGTGCGCCGTGGTGGGACCGGCGGAGACCTGCCACGTGTCTGCCGAAGCCAAGAGGGTGGTCCACGAGTTCCAGAAGTTTATCAGGTGCTTCCACGGAGGATGCTGTCTTTTCAGATTTTTCCAAAAAATGATTGCAGGAGTTCTTATCCCAAGCTTGGAAAATGCCAGTAGCTTGTCGGTTTATGTATTTTTCTCTCTAACTGTGGAAACAGGACTACCAAGTACTCTGTGTACAGTCCTGAGACGTACGAAGGCCACTGGAAGCAGCTAACCGTGCGCACTACGAGGACCAAGCAAGCTATGGCGATCATCTTCTTCCACCCGCAGGCGAGGACACGTCGTCAGTTTAGCTGCATGTCATTTCCTGTTGAGTTCTTCCCTTGTGAAGCCCGTTCTATCTTCTCACAGAAACTTGAAGAGGAGGAGCTCAGCGCCCTGAAGGACTCCATGAAGACGTATTTTCTCGAAGGAGAGGGTAAAGAGAGCGGCATTACCTCCCTGCACTTTGTCCGAGAGGGTCAAAGGTGAGGAAGGCGAACTTGAATCAGTCCCCAGAGTGACCTGGACAGCGGAGTGAATCACGCATTTTCGGCTTTATCCAAAGGACGTCTCCCAACCTGGAGGACCTGCCCTGCGAGCTCGTGGCCGGAGAGAGCTGCATTCACGAGGAGCTGCTCGGCCTGAAGTTCAGGATATCCCCGCACTCCTTCTTTCAGGCAAGCAGGAGGTTCATGGCCACTTGATAACAGAAATAAAGTCAAATTTAAAGTCAGAACCAAACATGGAGATGCAGCGTTGGGTTTTGCAGAAAACTGCAAAACTGCTGAAACAATTGCTTTAAATCAAGGCTGAAACCTCCACTTTTTTAGAGTTCCCTTTGATTCATAATGACTGGGACACTGATCCAATATATTTGATGGATATATTTCAATGATGGCATTTGACTAAATGTACTGTGTTGTGTTTCCATGACGCAAAACACTTTTTTTAATTCTCCAGGCAAGTCCACCATATCGCACATCCTCCACCGTATGCAAAACGTGTCTTCTCCCCGATATTGATCTTTTTTGTCTGACACGGGTATTCCTTATGGAGTTTGATGCTGTTTTGCTCAGTCTCATTCCAGATCCAACACATTTGTGTTTGTGGTGGGAGAATTAGCATCATCCTCGTACTTAACAGATGCGCACAAGGCGACTGTACACCTATTCTTTTTGAGTAATTGTACTTAAAGATGGGTGCTGTGTGTTTGTTTCCAGGTGAACACAGGGGCTGCCGAGGTGCTGTACTCGGCCGTGGGGGAATGGGCTCAGCTCGACCAAGACAGCACGGTGTTGGATGTTTGCTGCGGGACGGGAACCATCGGCCTCTCGCTCGCTAAAGTGAGTTCTGTGTTTTTTACGTATCAATCACGTCTTCCTTGTCCAGGCTATATTGAACACATCCTGTGGTTGTGGAAGATATCAACAGCTACATGTTGAAGAAAGTCCATGGAGTTTCTAACCTTTTTTTCTTTTTAGAGAGTTAAAAAGGTGATCGGCATCGAGCTCTGTCAGGAAGCGGTGGAAGACGCCAAAATGAACGCCACGCTTAACGGTACGACAGCCGTTTCCTCGCGCGGACACCAACATGAAGTCACGTCTTTATTTTTTTTTCTTTGCATGTGAAGGTCTCAGCAATGTCGAGTTTCACTGCGGAAAAGCCGAGGACGTGTTCCCCAACATCCTGAACGCTCTGGTGTCCCCCAACGTCACGGCCATCGTGGATCCACCGAGGGCAGGCCTGCGTGAGTAGATAGGCGAGATGTGGTTGTTTTGAGCAGCGGCCATGAGAGTTTTTAAAATAATTTTTTCACAATTTTTTTATTAAATAGACACCAAGGTTGTCCTCGCCATCAGGAGAGCGGAACACCTGAAGAGGCTGGTGTACGTGGCGTGCAACGCCAAGGCGGCCATGACCAACTTTATCGAGTGAGGACTTTTAGCTTGTTTCTCCAGTGGGAAAAATTCTTTTTCATTTTAAGGAGAAGCATCACAGGTTTTCTGAAGCGTTTGAAATGACATACCCAAATCAAATCAGCAATTACAAACTATTGGAAAAGTTTAAATTAAAGTTAACCCTTGGGAGACTCCTTTAGTTTCGGAAAACATTAAGAGGCAACAAAAAATATTTTGGATTAGTTTTTTTTGTAACTTGCCAGCATTTTCCCTTTTCATTATAGAGTATATGAACGTTTTAGAAATATTATAAATAAGGCTACAAACTTTTAGAAATCATAGATGCAGCCTTGGTAAAATGAAGCTAATTTAAAAGTTTTAGTAGAAAAATAAAATCTACAAAACTGGGGATTTACAGTTTTTACTTACTAAGCTTATTTTTGCATGTCTAAAACTTTATTTTTTTACAATTCAATTATGAATAAATAAACAGCGATATTTCACTACAATTAGGGCTGGGGGATAGGAGAAAAATCTAATATCCTGATAGATTTTTGCTACATCACGATACACGATGTATATCACAATATTCTTAAAAGAGCTCCAATGTTATTTTAAACTATACTCCTCCAGCATGATGTCACCCACGCACATTCCCATCCTCATTTCCTGTATATGAGTTTAAAATATAAGCTCATATAAAAAGGGATGCAGTGTCTTTTTGACGAAGGTTCCTGGTGACATCTGTTTGACGTTTCCACGGATCCCAAACGTATCTTCTGTTTAACAGGTTAAAATCTGCACCTGGTGTTGGATGCAGTGAGGTTTTCTTGGTGAAACCAGCCCATGTCTAGACGGTGCTGGAACTATCCTTAACAAAAGGAAAGCGTGCGTTTTCTCAGACTCACGGTCAATGTTTTTGTCGTCCTCAGCTTGTGCAGAGCTCCCTCCAACAGAGTTCACGGCGCTCCGTTCCGTCCGGTGCGAGCGATGGCCGTGGATCTGTTTCCACAGACCAAGCATGTGGAGCTGCTTCTCCTGTTTGAAAGAGTGGACTACAACTCCCAGCAGCCTTAGCATCGCTTGGAAATGGATCAGCTGTACTTTAGCGCTTTCTGTTCTTAAATGTATGCACACTTAACTAGCATTTTTTCCCCCTCTCTTTTTTGGTAACAAAACAAAGTCTTGAAATGTTTTGGTTTGATACGCAGCATCTCTGGTGAAGAAGAACTCGCACAAACTGTGTGCATCAAGAATAAAGAAAGTTCTCTACCTCTCTGTGTGGCTGAATGAATTCAAGCACCTCCAGATGTCAGTAAAGACATTTTTATTTTGCATAACAAACACTGAAGTCAAGAGTTCAGGTCGCAACACAGTTTCTAGGCAGCAACGTTTTCAAACATTTTATTGATACGCCACATAAAACCGGTATATTATTTCTCTCACACCACGACTTGGTGAGTCAAGACACGTACAGATGAGGGGGGGAGACAAAAAAACAACAACAAAAAAAAAACCACATTCTTGAAGCAATCTACACAATCACAAGAGCATTGCTTAAACATATGCCTCCTAAAATTGTTTTTTGTAGAAAAAGCACAGCAGTTTGTATTTGTTTTTGCTCCAGGTAGTGCCACAGTTAAGCCTTTTTTCTTTTCCTGCAACATGTAGATTTCTAGAAAATGCATAAGACTATGTAAGCTTTGGTATACATTGTTCCTCCCAACTTTTACAAGGCTGCCTTCAGAGTTTATTTTTTACTATACATTTTTAGCTAGCATGATCTACTGTAAGGATGATGGCAAACGTACAAAGTACACACCAATTAAGACAACTCTGAAAGCCCATCTCCACTTAAAACGTACCAATTGCCTAAGGACTTAATACTTTATCAAGTAAATATGGGTTGGTCTTTCCACTTCCTGTTGAAGGGCATTTGAGGTCCAACCTCTTTAGAGTCTAAGCCCTTCATGAAATGAACTAACTAAGGCAACGTGTAGCTGACTTTGTTTTTTAAAATGGATAAAGAAAAAAAAAAAAAAGGTCTGAAATAAGCAGTAGTGTAGATTAAAAAGGTAATTGTTAAAGAAAGCTAGCGATACTTCCAACCCTGGGTCGGATTTACTGCGACTGTAACTGTGTCCTACTCAAAACATCACGTCCCCACAAACGGTTATTCTCCTGAACAACAGCGTGACGAGCGAAAAGTAAAATCCAACCAGACATGAGAGCACGGTGACCTTTTTTTCCCCAAACGGTCACTTCATGACGCAAGTCATGCAAACGAACACGACGGCTTTTCAACAAAAATGGTACACTTTTTTTTTTAATTATTATTATTCCTTTTGTCTTTTAAATATCCAATAAACAAACAGATTTTTTTCCAATTAATTGACCATTGTAAATACAAGCATTAGTAGTCCCTTTTGAAAACTTCAAGCACTAAAAAGAAACAAAAAAAAAAAAAAAAAAAAGTGCGAGTAATAAAAGATCGACTTTTAAAAATAACACTGACATTAAAACCAATGTTTGGATTGGCTTTTTTTTGTTGTTTTCTTCTGACAGTTAAAAGCATGCATTTCTGTTCTGATGTAATTCATATTCTTGTTGTTTAGGACGCATCTAGAGAGGTAGACAGTCCCCCCCCCCCAAATCTCTAGGCCCTTCAGTGCATTCAGTCCGAACCCTCACAGCCTTACTTGCTCAGCCCTTCAGGCGGAGCCGCGAGAAGCGAGCGGCGGCTCCGCCGGTCTGATCAGTGTGACGCTACGCTCCTTGCCGGATGTCAAGTGATGCGTTCTGTTGTGGACGCCATGATGCGGTGTGATGTTTGACAGTGACTGGGGCTTCAGTGCTGTGGTTCGTCAGTGATTCCGAGACTTAAACGTCGACAGTGCAGAGGGGCTCGCTGCCCGGCTGGGCCGACTCCATTATGGTCATCTTGGGCTTCTTCCTGGTTTCCTCCTGATGTGGAAAGAAGAGCAAGCAGCCGCAACAGATGACTAACACATTTAGAATAGTACTGATGTACTCGATTATAGAATCATGGCTATGTGCTTTCAAATGTAGAGGTTTGGGCTGAAACGATTAATTGTGACAAATCAATTATTCAAATGATTGTCAGCTAATTTAGTAATTGATTAATCGTTAACTGGTATATAAAGATTCAACAAAGCCATTTGCAGAAAAAAGTATATACATCTTGCATTTACGAGAAAAATACAGTTGAAGCTTGTTCAAATTCATTAAAAGAATGCTGCTATTGCATCTAAGGAAAGGACATATTTTGTTTAATAAAGAAGTTTAAAGCATTTCTAATATGACATTAAATAGCTTAACTGGTGAAATGAAAGATCTTCCTATTTACTTAAAAATCTGACTAATCAATTAGAAGTCCAATTAATCGATAGAATAATCCATGAGGTGCAAACCACTTCCAACGAATTCGAAAGCACAATTACAAAAACACAACATTAATGCCACAGTTACAAATTCAAAAATGCTACAAGATCAACAAAATGGAGAGGGAATGTCCCAGCGGGAGTCCTGAGAAGTGGCTGATTGGACGACGGTGCTTTTGAACACTCGGCCCGTTGTTGCGATACGTTACAGCCTACAGCGTCCGCCATCTGCCAGCAAGTTAATGCCAGTAAATTGGCCGAACTTCGTAACAAACTAAGGACATTTCAAACTTTTTGATGTGGTTATTTAAATGTTTTGTGGCACAATAATTACATTTGATACAGCTGATTCTGATAAATCGTTTTTATTGATGAACACACACACGCACCTTTACAGTGATGTATTCATGAACATATTAACACAATTCCATAATTCAATGTGCATTTGCCATTTCAAGATAAAAAAAAAAAAAAAATTAAACTTCATTTAAATTTTTGGGGATTTTTGACAGTAGTTGTCAAACTTTAGCTAAATATTTATACTTTGGAAAAAATATTTATTACAGAGCAATATATCAGTTGTGCTACAGACAGCAGCGAACGAAATCTAGCAGACTAACAGTCTGCTGGTCAAACTGGCAGCAGTTCGGTTACTGGGCTTCGAAGCGAATGATATTTTCTTTTACCAGTGTAAAAGAAAATAGATCCCTGATTCATTCACATTCAGGAAAAAAAAAATCGTATCTTCCCCTTATAGGGTCATTGACTTAGCATCTAAACACAGACATTGTAGAGACGAGCTGGGAAACAAAAGTCTGAAGAAAAACAGCTACAGCTCTGATCTCTACGGACCCGACCTGGTGAAATCCCCCGGGCTCCACGCTGCTCTCTGGATTCATGGACTTTCAGTCTGTTATATCAAGCAACTTATTTTAAGCTACATAAGTTATAAGAAACATCTTACAGACAACTGACGTACCTTAAAAGTCACCATGTTTCACCACAAACGGCGACTTGTCTTATGCTATGAAATAATCTGAGTAGTTAACTGGGCCAGTTTAGCTACAAAGGAAATGATTTCTTGGTTTGTTTCACCATGGAAATGCGCAGTACTGGCCACAGAGTCAAGTAATTCTGCTCGTAAATTTACGTTATTATTATCTTTAAGTCTTACCTGGGAAAGGTAAAGGTCCACTTTGTACTGTAAAACCGTTGAAACTAGTCCACAAAGCACATTCAAGATGGCAGCGATGCAAGTAGGACTCTAATCAATAGGCACTGATTGGACAATACATATTGTCCAATCAATAGGCACTGATAGGACAATACCTATTGTCCAATCAATAGGCACTGATTGGACAATAGCTATTGTCCAATCAGCGATTTGTCAGGTCTCACACTGGGACATACCTCTTCCGGTTTGTTAATGTTGTGTTTTTGTAATTTGTTGAAGTGGTTTGCACCTCAGGGCCACCGGAAATGAATTACTACCCCTGATAGAAATGGGGAATAGTGCATATTGTGCACTGTGAGGAGACAATCAAATATATTCTGATGGGAATCAGTAATTCTGTCATAAACTATGAGAATATCAGCCAAATACATTCGATCAGAACTTTGTTTGGTTTTGCTTATAGAGAAATTGTGTTTCTGAAGCTCAGAAAGGAAGCAGGCTTTGATTCATGATCAAAATAATTGATAATAAAAAAAATTATTTTTAGCCACATTACAAATAAATGCAACCAATATTGAGATCAATTGCATAAAGAAATGCAAGGACTCCTGTACTACCAAGTTTCTGCAGCTTGTGTTTCTACATTCAGTTATGAACATGAGAAGCTGTTCTAAAAACATATGGCAATGTTGCACAAAAACTGTGTGTGTGTTCAGACTGCCTTCCTGTTGAGTCCGAGACTCAGGATCTAACAACGGTCTGATTATTTTCTTCTGCTCCGTACAGAGAAATACAGATCAGAAGAGCCAAACACAGAACGTGTAGCAACACACGAGACGTCACAGACACTCACCCTCTGAGCTGCCAGTTTCTTCATTTCCTCCTGTAGTTTGTTCAAGATGTGAAGGTTTGGCTTGTTCTTTTTGGCATACTGCTGCAGCTCTATCACGCTCTTGTCTGAACTCTCCTGTGGAAAGATTGTTTTGTGCACAGAGCTTTACATGAGCCGCACATTCAGCTCTCCACCCGTGGAGAAAGCGGCAGAAACAGTGCGAGACGTGCAGGTCGTCACCTTTTTGACCATCTTGTTGCTTTCTCTGCCGTACATGCGCAGCAGCGAGCCCCAGTTCTTAACATGGGGGTGAAGCATCTGGAGGATCTTCTGGGACGCCAGCTGTTTCCCGACTCTCTTGTTTTTGCCTGGTTGGGAAAGAAAACCAAGGATCAAAACTGTTCTGAAAACTCTGCATGCGCGGTTCCGCGAGGCCAGGAAGGAAAACGTCATAAATTCACGAGACTTAGAATTTGGTTCTACTTACACCAGCCTCGCACCGTGTGCTTCCCACACGTCATAACATATTCACTCTTCTGGTTCTTTCCTGGGATCACCTCAAATTTAATGCTGGTGTCCCCCATTCCATGGTTTCTGAGACAAAAAAAACATTGAAAGTGATATGAAACCTGTCAGTCACACTGGAATAATGTTGGTGTTACAGAAAAAGTTCCTTATTAAGGACCAGAACTCTTTTCAGCCGCCAGCCTTTTAGATATTCTTGACAGTAACAGACCCCCATGTAAACCGCTTTCCTCCCGGCAACCCGGAAAAGAACAAGCTAAAAAAAAAAAAACTGATTTACCTTTTAAGGCACTCATGAAGAATCTGATATGGCGAAAGTAGACCTGCTTTGTTGGTCAGCTCGTAC